CAACCTTTTTTTTTGACAAATTTTGAAAATGTAGGCAAAGATAGAAGTAAACCAGTGGGCATTCCACATACGAAAAGAACTTTCATGACCTTCAAGAAAGTAATTTTTCTGTTATTGCTTGGTCGTATTGATACTTCAATTGGTTGCCTCAGTCATTTGATGGAGTTCTGTTTGGTTGTAGTTCTTGTCAATGAGACTTGCTGCGGTTAACCCAAGAGTTGATTTCAACCTTGACAATCTCTTTGCTCCAGAAGTAAGTTTTGTCTTGCTTGTTTATAACTTCACTTCATTATTTACTCAATTCAGCAAGTAAAGCGCCTAACTGGTACTTCGTTAGTTCTTCTATGCTGGCATCTGATTTTTTTACCTTCAATGTCAACTTATAAGACCACCTAAGAAGACGCTTCACATTAAAATTGTTCGAAAGTTAGTTACTGAAATTTTTCTTCATCCCCTTTTTTTCTAGAGGTTCTTTTGACCAGCCAAAAATAGCAGAGCAGGGTCAATTGTGGACCATCATTATCTGACTTTCTAGGCACATTTACCCGTTTAACTCTTCTTATGTAACGTGATCAGTTGAAAGGTTGCCAGTCACCGTACTACAATGTTGCTAGCCTCTGGAGTTACCTTTGTCAGTCTCAAAGTTGGCCCTCTATTCATATACCTGAGAAGAGGAGAATTTTTCATGTGATACTTACTGTCGATATTTCTGCAAGTTGCAACTTCTCACATCATGACTTCTACAATGCTTTAAATGAAAATGTTCTGTACCTTATCATGTTTTACTGCAATGTATTTATTTAATCAATTATGCCTACTTGTATGGATCAATTAAATACAGTCAAAGATTGGATTATCCAAAAGATTTCAAGCGGGCATCTTCATGCTTTATGACTAGCTTTAGGATGATTGAGTAATTACTCATAATGTATAAAGCATTTATAAAATAATCTCAGTTTCTTCAAAACTTGTGATCATTCCCTTAAGAGTCTTGATTTACTTTTGGAAAATTAGCGGAGTGGTTCCCATGTAGAGAGCAACTTACCAGACATGATTGTGCCACCTATGTGGGCTGACGGACAAACCAGCGGGAACAGAAACCAGTATCAACATTTTTGGCATCTTGAAGGAATTCATCAGCCTGTCTGGGGAAGAGTAGAAGACAACTCTAGCTTTGTTACTCCAGAGAACTCACTTTTGACTTATGATTCCTCAGCAAATTCAGGTAAATCCCAACTTAATGGCCTGTGTGTTACTTATTTCTCTATGTTCATTTCCTCTTGGCACCAACTGAGACGCAAAAAGTTTACCACTTGGCACCAACTGAGACGCAAAAAGTTTACCACTTGGCAACTAACACACAATATGTATATATATATATATATATATATATATATATATATATATACGCGACAAAGAGAATTCTGTAAAGAAAACCAATATGGAATGCAGCAAGAGTCAAATGAGCTTCATAGCTAATTGTGATATTTCTGACTTTTGCAGCATCTTTACACCAAAATCAGCTGAAAATGGAGCTATGAAAGCAGAGGCAAGAATTTACTAGTGGTTAGCTGTGTATATATCGGACATAATAGTTGATAGCAGCAGGCAGCGGAGAAGAGAGTTCTCAAGAGTTAAAGACTTTGACTTTCCACTTCCGCTAATCAAGAACAAGGAGAAAATCCAGATTGATCTCTGTTAGAGGGGGAAAAAATTAGCTGTATCCCTTATTTCCATTTGTATAACATATATATTTATATGCATACGGAAATATTTGTCTATACTAACGTAGGGTCATTCAATCTGATACTTGGTGTGCGAGATGATTGATTGATTCATAGCTGTAAAACAAAAATGAACTAGTGGTGACTACATTAATATGCAGATAAGCTTTTGTGTTATTTGCTCTTGTTGATGTACCTTGTGTTGTAATCGTGAGAAGCAATAAAAAAAGATGTTGAAAACCGAGAAAGCTTCATTTTGAGGGAGAGAGATTGAACCAAAGACCTCCAATGTCTTTAGGTCTCGTCATTGCAATTTACTACTACACAATCTATAGGCAGAGTTATCCTTGGGTTATCCCAAAAAAAAATATATATATATATATCTCCAACAAAATGGATGAGCTGCCAGTGGTAAAATTATAGTATGTTCTTGCGCACCTCGGTTAATACAATCTCAACTACCTGGATGGATTGACTTGATAATTGTAGTAAATACATAGCATCATATAAACCATTCATTAATGCACAAGAGAATGCAATACATCAGAATAAAAAAGAGTTGGTGTTTATTTATCCACGACTCCTCTACCTTTTGAGATGAATTAATTGATAATAACAAATACTCCTCAGATAACACATAAGCAAATTGATCACAAACATCAGATAACACATAAGCAGATTGATAAAGGAATAAAGGACAAACATGTACCCGCTTGACTTTTTTGTTTTTCCTTTTTTTACCCCTTTTGAGTGGATAGTCATTCTGCACAGCAAATCAATAAGAACATAAAGATGAGAAAGAACAAGGACTACAAGGTCCATGAAGATATCCACCAAGCCAGCAAAAATAACAACTTACAAACTGGAGATATAATGATTGTGCCCTACTTTCATCACTTATACCATTTTTGAACAGGGACATCTTATACCATTGACATCTAAGGGACACCTTATACGACAAAAGGCCAAGACCAACAGATTTTAAAGCAAGAACATCATACTTCAGTTCATATAACATTCAATAGAGGCTTCCTAGATCTTGTTTAGCTTTTCTGCTACAACAACAGGATTTGCTTTAGCAATAGCATCCCGACCAGCATTCTTATAATCAAATGGGCAGTCGTGCTTGTCTGAATAACGGTGAGCTGCACAGAAATGATTTCCACACTTGCAATTGAACCCTGTTAAGCCCACACGCTTGCGGCAAGTAGTGCACCTAGTTGGGCCCACTTTTGGCTTCACCTCTGAACTCTGGCCTGAGGATAAATCAGAAGATGCTTCTGTAGAGATAACCTTTAATTCTGCTGATCCCGGTTGCACATTGATTGAACCAGTGACAATAGGCTCTTTGTCATTACTGCTTGAGCTTCCATTTACAATGTTTTCGATTGATGTAGCTGCAAATTTAGCTTGTTCCTGCTTCAGTACCATGTCCTTGTGACACTTGGAGCACATATTCATGGTGGCTGCACTACCAAAGAACCCACAGTTGTTGATGCAAAGGATGGGGCCTTCTGGAGCTTGGCAGCCTGTCTCCTTGGAAGATTCCATTTTCTGCAGTTAACCTGACACTTGCAACACAAGCTCATTATATACAATTTCCATCATTGCAACAAAAAGAACAAGCAAATCCCTCAACTAAGGAACACTGAAATTATCAGACAGGGCCGGCAATCCGAAATATTACATCCAATCAAGAAACAGAAAACATTCAAACAACCAACAATAACTAGAATTAGTCATCAACATCAATGCCTTTTGGTTGGTGCTCAGTCAACACTATAGGGGGTTTAGTTCAGTAACCTAGACAATTACTTATGACATTAGAGGCAAATGGTGAAAACTCCAGCTCTCTTTTCTTCATATCCTCTCAAAGATATTAAGCACAATCAAACAAAAAAACTTGACCGGAAAACTAATTGTTATACCGCTACAAGATCCATAAGTAGATGTAACTTAACGAGATGGCAAAAACTGCATTCATTACAAGACATTTTCTCACATATACCTCAACTTTCTGAGATATGGTTGCCTGCAAACTTCAAATTAATTTAACCAACCCTTATTTAGACTTTGCAAGAACATAGGAGTTCAAAATTGTGATTACATTGTAATCAACCAAAACTTGAGTTCCCTACAAAATATAATTATGTGTATCCAGGTGAAACTACTTCTGACAAGCAAACTGGATACTTAAGCTGCCCAATCTAGCAGAGATATCCAAGGCTCCATCCTCACTCAGCTAACTGCTGACTTGCTAACATAGCCAGCCCATTCTTGTCAATGGTAACAGCAAATTGTCATACATTAAAAAGAATACATGTTGCTTACCCATTCTTCTTGTAGCCAATTAGAATCGCGTAGAAAGACAGGCAACTTATTCTTATGTTTCTTGTTTAACAATACAAGTTCAGCAAACACTAACTCCTTCAAGGAAAAAAAACCAAACCCTAGCTATCACCAAAACAGAAGTGGTAAAAGACCGACAGGAAAACATCGCTGCAACCATTGTGGTAAGCAAAAGCTTGCACTTCAATCATTGTCATATCACTTAATATGGTCAATCAACATGGAATTTCAACTATTCAAGGGTTTCCACCAAAAGGAGCATGATTAGTAAACTCGATTATCTAGACAAATACAAAACAGTCTAAAGAACCTTTTGTTGCTAATCTCTGATTGCATATAGCATGAATTCAAGAAATTTGTTTCTCGTAACAACTGAATGCACAGATAGATCTCAGAGATGTCAAGACAACTATTGTTTGCATGAATGGTTATCCAAGATCAGGGCACTTCTTTATGTCATTAAACTGCTTAATACTTCTCAGCGTGGATAAAACCTGGCTCAGCATACTATCACCTCGAAGTGAATGGTAGTTATTGTAAGATCATCAACAATTACACTAGCAAAGAAACCCAAAAAAAGTAAGTTTATCCAGCTAGATTTCCTTACTAAGAAACTGAAAGCTTAGCAAAGCACAATTCAACGAAATGATGCAAAAAAGACCTTTAAGAAGTATAAAACAAAAGACACGCTCACTTTTGACAAAGATCAGAGAAACAGTAGAAAAGGCTAAGTGCACATATTAATGTCTCAATATTTCCGCTCCAACATTTAATTAACAGGATGAATGATAAACAACTCCATCTATGTGAGCTTAGGATAACGGAAGAGGTAGGTTGATGGTTAGGATATAAATAGTCTTACTTTTGTTAGACAATGATATTTTAACAAGGGGATTCAAAAGATTGGAACTTGTGCCTTAAAACAAACTTTGAGCTAACTTTGCCACTACAAGGGGATACAAAAGTTAATATGTATACGTAAAAAATTGCAAACTCAATGAAGGGGATTCAATTGAACCCCTTCCTTGGCTGTGGCTCTGCCACTGACCACAAAGGATACATATGATTCATATGGTAGAAGCCAACTAGTTTGGGAATTGGGATGAGTCATCATTGATGATTAATGAAAGGAAAAAAAAACAAATAAGTGAACATATAAAACCCCAACTCGGCACAGAACTCAACTGCTTATGCACAGCAGCACATGTTATTTAGATGATTCAGATAGCAGCAACACTTCACATAAAAAAGATATGGTAAATTCTCAACTAAGAAGCAAGAAATCAGCATTATCCCACATGGGCTGTAAAGCAATATCCTAAAAATCAAAACTTTAAACTAATGACACGTCATAACATTCCAAAAAAAAAAGAACCATAATAATCCAAATCTAACAAAGTAGGAAAAAAATACCTCTTTTAACGCATAAACGCTAGAACACATGCTTAATTTTAAACAAGAAAGGGAAAATTGAAGAAAATCCAACAAAAAAATCAATAAAAGTCGAAAAATTTACCCGATCTTCAGTTTCAAATTCGAAGCCCAGAAAAAGGCCTAGAATCACCCGATTAAAAAACAATTATAGAAAAAGTAGAGAAATAACAAGAGAAGAACATAAAATTAAAATCAATTATTGTGGGAGAAAGAAAAACCAAAAATAATCAAAAAGCAAAAAAGTATACCTTGATCGAAGCGATAAATCGAGAAGTCGAGAGGTGAAGAAAAGAGGAAGAAATTGAGAAAGATTAGAGAGAGAGAGAGAGAGACCTAAAAAGAGAGAAGAAAGAGAAAGAGGAGGATTGAAATGTAAAACTGCGGAAAATGATTTTTCGTCCCCTTTTATTTAATTGTAATTTCATTAACAGAACTTTTTAATTTGATTATGTTTTGGACTGCTAAATTAATTTCAAACCGGAATGCTTTTGGGAGTTTGGAGTGTGGCCCAAGCCTTCGTTTCTTCACCTGCCCTTACCAAACTTCTATTTTACCATTTTGCCATTCCTTTTTCCTTACGCATCGACCTCCTCTCTCCGAGAGAGACGGGGGCATGGATTAGTAATGCATGGCATTCGTTATACAGATATTATTTTTTATTTATTGTTTGGTATGATGTATTAAAATTATAATATATTATATAATTTTTAAGAAAAATAATTATTTATAAAAATAACTTTCATATTCTCAAGTTTTAAGGAATTTTAAGAATAATTTTATATTTAGCCAACATAATACATGTATTAGTAGTCTTGATATTACTAATATCATAGTTTTCTATGCATTACTTATACATAGGATAATACTAAATATGGTTTATAATTAATACAAATATTAATTATATACAAATTAAAAAAATATATCAAACAAGATATTAGTAATGTATAGAGCTAATGTTTGTATTATTTTTTCTAATACCTCCTACCAAATCATCCATCAGAGTGTTAAGCTTTGGAATTTACTGGCATAATTTATATATTTCATATTCCCTTTTTCCTTCTTTTAGAGCTAGTTATTTCTTTGACTGGTTATCGAGGGCTTGAAAGTTAATTATGAAAACTTAAATAGATGTATTTTTAAGAACCCTGTCAATATACTTAGCTTCAATACTCATATATATCAGCCCATAATAAAAAGGTGTCAAATAAATCGGATGGGTTGAATCTAGACATGTTAAAGTAACGAGTGGAACTGAATCATGTTCAAAGTTTGCCTGCATTAAGATTAGGTTGAGTCAATTTTATGAGTGTCCTAAGTAGGCGGATTCATAATTTAAATCTTATGGGTTTAACTTTTAAAAAAATTTCTATTGAACTCATTATACTTTTAAATTTATGGGTTCATATCTACTATTTTATAATTCTAATGAATTTTTACACATAAAATTTTACTTTGTTTCAAAAGTTATGAGTTCAATTGGATCCGATAGTACTACACTGCATCCGCCACGGTCGGTACCGAGACTGAATGCATGGCAGCCCTAAGGGCAGGGTAGTGCTGCCATGTGTTGTATTGTATCCTTGCGGGTGAGTTGGTGTAATAAGCATAGCATGCCATTGCCCACACCTTTATAGCTTGTCAACTTATTTTTAAAATGGCTTTTTTTAAAAGTATTAGTTTTAGGACATAATACTATACGTTAATAATTTTACATGATTACCTTTAGAAATTATATTAGTATAATTATTTTCGGACTGTCAAATTCATATAAAGTTGAACAAATAAATATCTTTAGTCATGTAATCCTATTACTTTTAGGATATACTTCTTAAAAATTTCTATTATTAATTTAATTTGAAAACGTATTATAATGTCCTATTACTATATTGTCCAAATTCATTATCACTTAGTCCAAATAAATATCTTTAGTCCAAATTCATTATTACTATAATGTCGTATTATAATGTCCTATTAATTTCTATTATCACTTGAGAATGTATTATATTGTCCAAATTCATTTAGAAAAAGGAGAGCCTATATTATTATAAAAGCATAAATACAATATTAATATACCAAAATAGCCCTAAATTATTAAACGGAAGAACTCATAGGAAGATGACATAACTGCAATAACCTATTTTTTGGACTACAGTACATTCTATGCTAATTTTTAATATTTAAGATTTTAAAATTAATAAAATTTATCTATTAAATTATTATTAAAAATATGTAGGAAGGTTTAATAAAATTAATTTCATAAGAATCCTCCGTATTAGCAATACATTACCACTCCATAATGTCCAATACTAAGAAAAAATAAAAGTAATATTAAATGAACTGCATAAAAAGTTGAAATTGAGAAACAAATACCCCCACGATAATATATTTTTATATTATATTTAAACTATTTTTCTACTCAAATAATATTTTTTAATTAATTTTTCGGGTAATATGTAATACCCAATTATTAAACAACAAATAAAAAAATATTTAAGAATATAAATGTGTGAGAAAGAGAAAAAAACTGGTTGGTAAGAGTCAATACCACTAATGATTTTACAAACGTAAATATCTAAAAGTGAAATGTCATATCAATCTTGTACTAGTTGAAAATAAAATTTATAGTGGATAGAATTATAATTAAGATTAAATATTCAAAACAAGATATGAACTAATATTATAATCTGAATCAATATATAATAAATTATTTTTTATGTTAAAATTAAATAATTAAATCTTTTAATTAATTATTTAGCAAGAGAACCCAATTCAATTATTTTTTAAATTCATCATATGAGTAAAATTCTTATTCAAGTTAGAAAAATAATCTTAGGGTACATAAATTTATTCCATTAAAAGAGCGTTAGAACACAGTAAAAATGTTAGTATATTATTAAGAATTAAAATGCTATACAAGTGTCTGAGAAAGCACAATCAAAGCTAAATTCTAAACAAGATGTCACGACCCAAAATTCCCACCTTCGGTACCGTGATGGAGCCTAACATTTCACTTGCTAGGCAAGCCAACGTTAGAATAATATTAGCCATTTTAAAATAATTTTAAATTAATTAATAACAAAGAAACAAATGCGGAAGTAAAATCTGAAATGTAGTGAATAATCCATAATAATAGCGATGTCTAAATACCATCCCAGAACTGGAATCACAAGTGCACGAGCTTCTAGAATGATATAAATAAGGGTCTGAATAAAATAAAGTTGTCTAAAAGCAAACACACAGCTAAAGTAAAGTAGATGGGGACTTTAGAACTGCGGACGCTGCGCAGTTATACCTCAAGTCTCCTCTGGGTAGCTGAAATCCGAGCAAGTCTATGGTACGCCGCTGGGACCAACTCCGAAATCTGCACAAGAAGTGCAGAGTGTAGTATCAGTACAACTGACCCCATGTACTCGTAAGTGCCGAGCCTAACCTAGACGAAATAGTGACGAGGCTAAGGCAGGTCGCTTACATTAACCTGTAAATAATAATAATAATAATAATAATAATAATAATAATAATAATAATAATAATAATAATAATGACGTGAATAGTAGTAAGACTAGTAAATAATTTTAATAATTGAAATCAATTCAACAGTCACAATCCCTCAACCTGTTTCCATTGCGGCATGCAACCCGTTCCCCCAATATAAACTTTAAATAAGTCTGTTGCGGCGTACAACCCGATCCCCCAATATTGACTTTAAATAAGCTTGTTGCGGCGTGCAACTCGTTCCCCCATATAAACTTTAAATAAATCTGTTGCGGCGTGCAACCCGATCCCCCATATATATATACACAACTATTAAATGTAATAGAAATACTCTAATAAATACCACGTTCAATAAGAAAACTATTAAGCATCAAGGCATACAATAATTATAATTTATTTATGAAACAAACAATGACAAGTGACAATTAATTGTGAAAATCAAGGAAAAAATATGCAGTTTAATATTTAATATGCTAAAGGTCAAGTAGCAATTAAGACACATAAATCAAATAAGCATGTAACAATAATTGCAGGAATTCAAGAATTAATATATGACAAGAAATATGAGAGAAACAATTACTATAATAATTAATTCGTGTCTTAAACAATTTAAGATATTTTAAATAATTAAGCAACCAATTAATTTGACAAAGTATAGGTACTCGTCACCTTGCTTATACATCGTTACACATGAAACTCACGTAGTAAATAATTCAAGGGTTTTATTCCCTCAAGTCAAGATTAACCACGATACTTACCTCGCTTTGCAACCAAATTTCAAGAATCCAATAAACCTTTACCTCGCGAATTCCTGTCCGAAATTCCCAAATCTAGTCATAAACAATTCAATATATTCAATACAAATCGTAGGAATTAATTCCATATGAATTTACAAATTTTCCGGATAAAAATCTAAAATTTATTTTAAAAATTAACAGTGGAGCCCACATCTCGAATCCCGAAAGAACTCACGAAATCCGAACACCCATTCCGATACGAGTTTAACCATACAAAAATTATCGAATTCCGACATCGGATTAGCTTTCAAATCTTCATTTTACAATTTTGGAAGATTTTATTAAAAAAATCTGATTTGTCTTCCATAAATTCACGGATTCATGATATAAATGAGTATGGAATCATGAAATATAATCAATATAGGATAAGGAATACTTACTCCATTATTTTCCCGTAAAAATTGCCCAAAAATCGTCTTACCCGAGCTCAAAATTGAAAATGGTGGAAAATGGGTCGAAATCCCATTTTCAGAACTTAAGTTCTGTTTGCCCAGATTTTTACTCATCGCGATCGCGGAACTTCATTCGCGATCGCGTAGAACAACTTTTGCCCAGGTCCATTTTACTTTTCACGATCGCAGATAATTCTTTGCGATCGCGAATCATGTTTTGGTTGCCCGGAATTTTAACTCTACGCGATCGCATAAATGGCCATGCGATCGCAGAGAACATTTTCTCAACCTTACACGATCGCGTACTGACTTGTGCGATCGCGTAGCACAATTTTGGTGCTTCATCTTCTGCCTCATTCCCTCTTCGCAAACGCGAGGCTTCGATCCCGAACGCGAAGCTTTGCACTTCGACCCTTCGCGAACGCGTGCCCTCGGTCACGAACGCAAAATACAATGCACCAGATGATAGCAGAAGCTAAAAACCAGATTTTTTTCTCAAAGTTCAAATGGTCTGTAGGCTATCCGAAACTCACCCGAGCCCTCGGGGCTCCAAACCAAACATGCACACAAGTCCAAAAATCTCATACGAACTCACTCGCGCGATCAAAATACCAATTTAACACCTAGAATTACGAATCAGACACCAAATCAAATGAAATTTTTAAGAAAGGTTTAAAACTTCTATTTTCACAACCGAATGT